ATCAAATGATCTAAATCTCCCTATAAATCTGCAGCATCTTTGTGATACAGTTAGCCACCACAAAATCTTAATGTCATCTGCAAACTTCAAAATTTTGTTAGTCATTCCAGAATCAATACCATTAATATAAATCACAAACAGCAGAGAACCCAGCCCTGAGGCACACCATTTGTAACTGTGATCCAGTCAGATCTAATTCCATTTATTACAACTCTCTATTTTCCAGCAAATTTTCTATCCTCTCCCCTACACAATTTATTATTGTCAATATCCCTGACAAAAGCAAGCTATGACTCACTTCCTTAAATGTCATTATCAATGTTTTATATCCCATACAATTGGAAGTATTTTAGAATGATTGCAGCAGAGTAAGTCTTGCTTCAAATATTTAGATGTTAGTCTTGTTCTTTTATAAAAAAATTGTATTGTCGGTACCTTATTTTCTTTTCATGTACTACAAACTTTGTTAGCTAAATATTTAAAGAGAAATGATATAGGTATTTTGTAATTTGGTGCTGCAAAGTTTACAACAAATTCACAAAAACAGCTAATATTTCCTAGAGGTTCATATTTAATTTGTTTGATTTACTTGAATACATATCTGGCTAGTAGTGAAAGATTTCAAACTGCCAAATGCATCTATCATACGATAGCATTGTATATACAAATATTACTGAGGTGGTGTCCAAGTTAATTTTTCCCTTCGTTTATAACCTTTGTGAGTGTACAGAAACAATTTTGGAGAACTAAGCACAATTTTCTCTATAAAACTAACATTCAATCCATGTTCTTTTTATCTAAATACATTAACTGAAAATGTTTTTAATTTGTTGCTTTAAAAGAAATTTAAATCTTGAAGGAAGAAGACCTGCATTCATAATCACACAAATTTGGATGTATTGTAACTAGAGGGCACTTCATATTAATGTTATCATGGTTCCATAAATTAACCATAAGTTATTTTAATGATCTAAAGGGACATTAAACTTAATTTATTTTAACAAAATTGTGAACTCATAATATAAACAAGAAATTTAGTTATTACAATTTTTTTTTCCCCCAGTGAATTATTACAATCCCTAAACTTCTGATGTCAAAATACTTAATCTAAACATTTTTGGGTTAAGGTATTTTGTATTTGAATGCACAAGATTTATAAAATGTAAAACCAATGCTGTGTATTTAAAGTAATTGAAATGGTTAAATGACTAACCTATACTACTTATCCATGAAGTTAGGGTACATAGTTCTAAATAAATCTGATGGGTGTGAGATTAAACTTATTCCTCAACATTTGATACCAACCAGATATCTCTAGTACAAAAGACAATAAGCTGAATGGTCTGATCAAAAGTGACAGACTGATCAACTAATTTAGTAAGGGACACCAGACCTAGCAGTATTCTCAAAACCTGAGTATCGAGGACAAGCATTACAACTTTGAGATATTGCTCCCAGGTTTCTACTCAACAGGGTGGTGAGACTGGTATTCTAAGTATCTATACACCTGGAAAAAAGTTAAGCACCCCCGTGTTTTTTTCAAGTGATTCAGATTCGACGTTCTTGTGACTGATTATAAATTACC